ACAACACAAGACTAAAACATGTGAAATAATATGACTCATATCGTAAAATCAAACTCATTTGATGGTCTAGTTTTCACATGTAAAATGACCACAAAGCATATGTTACAAAAATACTATATTCTAATATTAAAAAATATAATTAACACCATTAATATTATATTAAAATAAGTAGTAAAAAATAAGGAGTTTTACAATTATTTATCATTAAGAAATTTTCATATCTCATACCATGCATAATCCTTACATGTTATGTTATGGAATGTAAAAAACTTTTTAAAATCATCAATTAGTATCATTAAATATGAAATTTAAAAACCATTTTCTAATTTAATCATAAATCCTAAACATTTTAACAAGTAAATATTTTATTATAAATATAAATTAATTAATACTTAAGTATCATATAAAATATTAATTAATAATAATTAAAGACATATATAATTAGAAGAAAGTAACCTTGATTTGTAAATAAATTTATTGATCTATAATTAACAAAATTTGAGGACCAATATATCAAAGTTTCTCATGTCAGAGGTAAGAAAGTAAACTCCAGAAACTTTAGTGAGCTCGTTGGACTTAAACTTCAGGATCTCAACATGTAGACGATCACTGTGAGATTTCTAGAGACCTTTAAGCTTGATTGGTTTGATTTTGAAAAGGCATTACTCAAGAGGCTGAAATGTAATTTTATAGAACTAGTGACAATTTTGGAAATGGAACTTTCTAGAACCCTTTAACTATTTTGATTTATGGATCACTAAGCTCATTTTATTATTCAATGCTGAAAAATAAAAAATATATAATCTTTACACTCAAATTTCATTACAAGTATATATCACGTCAGGATTCATTGTGATAAGCAAGCAAGAAGGAGAGGCTAGAAAGGCACAAGATTTCCAATTTTAAGAAGATTGACACCGCGATCTAGTAATGCCTCTATATTTAGAAAGATCCCTAGTTTGGATCTTAGGTTTGGTGTCAGTACTGAGTACCTTGCCCTTTTTTAAGCTCTCTATTTCGGCCTTCAACGTCAATCAATCTACTCCAACCTCTTCAAAAAGGTGTTCCAACAGTGTTAACGGTCGTTGCAATTTGCAAACGCTTGTGAAAAAGGTGGTAGACGTTATAATTAAATTTTGGTTGTTATTGAAATTGTTGATCTTTTGACAATTGATTAGGTTATTTTACATTTGTTTCTTTTAAATCTCTTTGTTTAATATATATATAAATACATGATTGTTTCATGATGATGAAGACAAAAGATTGGTGCTTTCAAATTTCAATGGCTAAAAGTTATTGCATGACCAATTTAAGTCTCATGATTACATCATATTTCCTTTTCATTATTTATAGGTTGAATTGAATGGAAATAACTTTTTATTGAAAGATGATTATGTTTTTTATAGGATTCTTTTGTCGTTCATGTTATCATTCTTCGATTATTTCTTTACTTCAAACACAGTACTTATCTTTATGCAAAGTCAATTCTAATATTGATTTTCTCATGTTATGATAATTTCTTCTTGATTCTATTTAACATCAGCGTTGACAAATATGTTTACTTCTCTCTGAACTCACCTTAGCTACTAAAAATGGTACATTTTGATTGCAGTACATTTATATACAGACTTAGGAGAAGAAGTCAAATCAAGTTGAAGTACGTTGAAACGAGGAATATCGTGTGGTTTTATTTAATTCGTTGAAATTTATAATATAAAGTTTAGTGTGTGTTGGAAATATTTGATTTTATAGAATTTTTTTGTTAATTGTTAATATGAAAAACATATAAATGAAGGGGTTGTTTGTTTACCTCTTAATAGTTCCATTAAGAGGTAACCTCTGAATCATTAAGAGGTGAATCTTGTTTGACAAAAAAAAGTTTGCCTCTTAATGGTTCTAAAACCCTCCGAATGATTTTATGATTTTATATCTTGGATCTCCCTTAACCATTAAGAGCCCTAATTTCATTGTACACAATTACCAAATAATTATAATTCATTTTGCACATATCATAAAAGTCTCTTAATAATTCTGACCACTTGATCATTCAGTAATTGCCAAACAGCCCTGAAGTGACCAAAAGAGCATTAGTTAAGAGGGAAAATCAGAATGTGTGTGTAGATGTGTTTTTGGTGAAGTCCAAACTTGTTGACATTATTGCCCTCCTTTTCACAATGTTGTCGGGATAACTCATATTTATTTTCATGTAATAAGTTATATATATATATATATATATATAACTTATTTTCACTTTTTTATATTAATTTATATATTTTGTTAACATATTTAAAAAATAATTAAAATACAAACATAATTTTATGCTAGAAATTAAAAAAATATAAAATACACTAATATTAATCTTTAAAAAAAAGTAACACTAAATAGTAAATAGTAATATTGATTCGACCAAATATGTTCAATCAAGTTTGAGAGGATTTGGTGATGGTATCTCAAAATTTCATTGAAGATTTTTTTAGAATTCATATGTAAAACTTTGAAATACTTGTGTTGAATTATCTACCTCTTGAACAAAATAAAATAATAATTATAAATTAAAGTTATTAATACAAAAGCTTGTATAAAATTTACAAGACACAAAAAATAAAACAAAATTAAAAAAAATATATTTTATAATAATTAAAAATTTATATATTTTTTGTATCAATTTTAATTTATATTTTTTTAGAGATTTATTAAAAGAATTTAAAATGGTTATGAAATGATATAAATAATAACATAAAAATGAATGTATATGAAAACACGATTCTCATCCAAGTATACGAGTTTTAATAAGAATCAGTGACTGAACAAAAACTTATGTTCTAGAGTGGAGGTTTTGTAAAAATCTCGGTAGAAACCTGTATTATAGATACTCTTAATTATTGTTTTTTAAATTCCATTGAATGATGGAAAGTTTTTACTCGAAAAGTTTAAACCAGACTAGAATTGCGGAATATTTATGAGGATGGCCAATAAACAATCGGTTTAACAAAAATAAAAATATTATTTTATGGGAATATCTAAATATTTGGTTACAAAATTGATTACCAACAACTTCAATCGGTTCTATATGGATCTTGCTATAAAAAACATCAATATGAGAAGACATTTTTCGGCTCAAACGACAGTTGAGACTAGAAGAGGGTTTAGAATCAAACCCAAAACTTATCTTGTATTTGACAAAATTATTTACCTCATTATCAACTGAGCTATGCACTAAAATATTTAAATATAGAACAGAACAAAACAAAATTATAAAGAATTACGATTAGCCAATTATAATTTTGTCCTATTTTTTAAATTTAAAGTTGAGTCAACTTATTATATAAATAATTCATCTATTGCCAATATAACGTGTCCATTTCTTTATCCACAAAAGCAGAAAAAAAGGTCCATCTTTCGTCACTAGGGTTGACCATTTACGACTATACACATTATTTTTATCTTCCATTTTATTTATTTCTTTATTTTATTCTAAAAGTAATTAAATGCATTATACAATTTAAATCTTTGATCATTTTTAATCTTAAACCAATCCATGAATTGCATTTTAAAAGAGTGTTTATCATTAGTGGTCGATCAAGTAGATTGATCTAAATTCTCACATAACTCTTGTTCTCACCGAGACTCAATCATATAAATCAAATGGTAAAACTGGTTTCTTTATTGTTTAATGTAATAAAATTCATATTATATAACGTCAAAAAGAATAACAGAGTAAAGACAACGTTTTCAGGTGAAAAGGTAACAAAACGGGAAGAAAAAAAGAGGCCTCTTTTTAAAGTGGAAAAGTAAGGTGAAGAAGGAAATACTTGGATGCATTAAGAATGGTTTGTTTGTTTGTTTTCTTTGTGTTTTTTATTTATTTATAATTTATATTAACGTGATACAACCCTTTAATTATAACTAATCAATACTAAAACGATCAAATTTCATTATCTAAATAATCGATTTTCTTTTTGTGCATTTGTTTATTTATAACTGAATGAGTTTTATTAATTGTTATAATTTATTTAAATTTATATGAACGCAGCAAACAGACACATTTGTTGACATATGAACCCTGAATCTCCACTCCCTATGTTTTTTAATATATATATTTTGATTCTTGGGTTCAAAATATAATAAGGATAAGAATTAATTGTGATTATAATAATATGTATTTTAAAAAAGGTCAACACTACCCTTCTAACAAACCCATTTGCATGAAGCATCCAAGACAAGACATCATTAAATTCCCTTTCTTAATTCTTTTACATCCAAACAACAATATATATTTACATGATTTGGGGTCCAAACTCCTGTATACAATCTTGATTAAATATTACAACATACACACATATATATATATATATATATATATTGCCTTTATCATTATAGATGTTGATAATGACTTGGACCTTTCTTAAACGCGTTGTCGAGTCTGAAACCGTCAATCATGAAAGTGAAGAAAAACAAATGGAAAGATTACGTTATCTGGTTCTAAAAAAAGTTGTTTTGACGTATGGGTATTTGCTTTAACATCATCATCTAAAGTATTCATTCGATCCAATCAGTTCATATAAACTTCACAGATTTTAGGTTTTTCGATCAGATAGTAAAAAAAATAAAACAAAGCTAATAGCACCTAATTAAAATCAAATCTAAAGCCTCATACCATACTAAAAACAAGATTCCTTTTTCAGATTTTATTGGGTTTTTTTAACTTTTTCAGTGAAGAGAAATATTTTGTCTGTTGGCACGTGTAAGGAAGTGAACAATTTGACTTATGAATACAAAAAGTCAAACCGCGTGTAGCAGGTTCAGAGCAGTTTGTGAGGTCAGGGAATTTGACTCTTTTGGATTCGTCTTCCCCAAGTCAACAACCACCCTCAAAAAGTCAACCACACTTCATCCATCCTTACCATATGTCTACAATAAAATTCATTAAAACTCTGTAAAATTTCTTCTCAATCATGAGTATCAAACACAGATTTTAAAACTAGTTTGAATCAAATCAATAATCAGCGAAAGGACGAATCGATTCAAAATTGACCAAGCTTCTATGTTGTAAAATATAATATCATCCTGCTAAAACAGAACACTACAGTATTCAGTAATATTATGTTATACACGTTATCACATACCAATCTTTACCTTTCTTTGCCTGTGGGAGCACTAGCTCCTCAACAAAACCACAGAAAAACAGAGCATCTCTCCACCTGCAGAACAAAATCAACGCGAATGAGGGATATCGACTGATTTGGGAAGTAGAGTATGGAAAAAAAAAATATGTGCTTTATGGTCATGTGACCTTGTCTACAACTTTGAAGCATTTGCGCTCATGACCAGAGACTCCATTTTCAACGCATGGGCCAAGTGATGGCTTCATTTGTGGATAAGCATATCATTTCACATTGATTGCTGCGGCCATGGTTCTCAACTTATGAGAAATTTCCAGAAAAGATGGTCTCTCTTGTGGATCGGCAGACCAACAGCTTCCCATTAACGACTTCCATTCAGGATCACACCATGTTGGTATCGTTGGACGTAACGAGTTGTTCACAATTCCTCCTATAAAAAATCTACCAATATCATATTCCCAATCCCTGCATCTTATCAAAACTCTACTTTTTTTTCACGTTATTATAGATACCTATTTGCCGATTCTTATGGTTACAAAAAGATCAGTTAGGTCTACAAGATTCAAGTGCTATGTCATTACAATCCAAGCAGCATTTTCAATATTGACAAGTAGTCCAGTACATGTTCCCAAAACTATCTGCCCAATCACTCAATCAGACACTACAATGTTCCTACAATAAAATAATTTAAGAGGCCTTCGAATCCATAACATGAGAGATCATTTTCCATTTGAGTTTTTCTCTTTTCCCAAAAATCCTATATGCAATAATGCCATGAATCAACATAAACGCATAATGTTGGAAGCAAACAACATACCAATTATGGAAGCACAATGCATATTTGTATAAGGTTCGTCTCCAGTGAGCAATTCCCACATGACAACCCCGAACGAGTAAACATCAATCTAATTTTTGGGAAGAAAACGTCAATAGATAAATGATATTACAATAAACATTTGCAAAGAGAGGGTATAATCCTAGTAAGTTAATCAGGTGATATACCTTTTCTGTTACCATGTGGTTTTTTCCACTAAGAAGCTCGGGTGCCATCCATGGCAAGGTTCCACGAACACCACCAGACACCTGTGTCTGTTGTTTAACCTTTGATAGGCCAAGATCTCCTATCTAGGAAGTTCAAAAAAGAAACATATGCGAGAATGATGAATGTGTCCCTTAATCCCAAAAATATGTGCAAGACTATCTTTTCTGGGATTTCCCAAAAACAAATACAACGACAATCAAAATTACCTCTTTCTCACTAGAAATCAATACAAAATATTTGTCATATTGATTTTGGTTCACAAGATTCATCTGTTTACCACATATGCACAATCAAATGTTGCATTTATTTTGGTACAGAGGAAAGTAATAATAACAAAACCTTGACGATAACCACCATCCATCCAGATTAGTTTCAGTAAGCAAACTAAGTTGCATAAGGACTCCAAACATGGATAGCATCCTTCCATGTCCCAAAGTGGTTTAACATGATCAAGTCACATACCTTGCAAATTGGTCTGTGTGGATCTCTCATATTCACCAGCAGATTTTCACATTTTAGGTCAAAATGCACGATATTCTTTCCATGCAAATATTCCATTCCAAAAGCAGTATCCATAGCTATAATAAGTCTTTTACGCCGATCTATAGTTCTGTCCACAAGATGGAGTTACACCATCATATTAATTCCACAACAGAAGAAGAATGACTAGGTACATACAAGAGACAACTCTTAAGCATATAAAATAAATATATAAAATGTGCTGGTTCACAACACCATTGGATGAAACTGTTACCTGTCTTTTTTCTTTAAAAACTGCTTCAAAGATCCATTAACCATGTACTCTGTTACGGTTGCCAAAGAACCATCCGGCCCATCACGAACTATACCATAGAAGGAGACAACATTCGGGTGGTGTAATGAACTTAACATCAAAGCTTCCTTCCAGAAATCTGCAATCTGTACTCAAAAATAGAAGCAGGGTCAAGAGAAATTTAGAAACAACCATCATAAAACAAAGAAGGAAAAAACTATTTTCAAGCAAATTTAGAAACAAATCAATAAACTGACATCTAATCATGTTCAAAATATTGGGGCGCTATTCAAATCCATGCTATGAAACTCCACAACAAAGATCTTTTACCTGGACAAAATAGAACAAGGTCAAAAAGGTAGTTTCTGGCTGGCAGTCAAAAACAGTGGTAGTCATCAGCCATTGGGTTAGGCAACTAGCCCAGGTCTACTGAACAATGCATACAAGTGAGATTTTTACTCATTTTGCATAAAGGAACTAATTTAGTGTTGAGTCGAGCCTAAATTGTTAAATTTGAAAGGTCAATCTAGCATATTTACTTAGCAATCAATGTTAGCCCATTTGATCAAATATTGCACATATTTCTCAACTTTCTACCAAGGTTCTGACAATAGCAGCGATAACAAAGGTATTTGACATTAAGGTTTCCAGCTTTTGTGGGTATCTTTCAACAAGAAAAAATGTATGATCAACTCTCTCCAATTACAGTTTACAGATGAAAATTGCTGGTCAATGATTTATATGGATTTCAAAAGTTCTGATATCTAGCATGACTAGTCAGTTATTCTTTTTTCTAGCTGATAAGAGCTGTTATTTGTAGTTAGTTCTTAGGACCATTTCATTCAACCTCTATCTTTAATATGTAGATTTCAGTAGAGTTTTCTTCTATCATGATACTTTTTTTAGGCTGCCAAGATAATTGTACCATGTCCCAATTTAATAGCACAAAAATTCAAAAAACTAATCTGGTAAATAACTTTCAGCGAATGACTAGATTACAAGCATCTTCTAGGTAGGTATTGAATACTTTTGACAAAATTTAACACTTGTGTCATGGAAGAGTACAATTGGAAAACGATCACCTTTCAACCAAATCAAGATTTCATGTTATCTAAAGACAATATGTGGCAAAATTATACCACAAATTGTACGAAAGAAGAAAGAGCGCGTTCATTTGGGACATCCTAAAATAGTAATCTGGTAATTACAACCGGGATCAATCGAGTAATAGGAACACATGACATACTTGACTCACTGACCTCTTAACCAAGTAGTAGTTGACCCCCTTCTCAAATCACACAAAAATGTAGAAAAGATTACAAAATTTCCGTTATATATTGATCTTTGTTGAATCAGCAGAAAACTCAATATCCACCGATCACAGCCGTGTGTGAGCAGTACACTGAATGATATTGTTTCAACGGTGTTACACAAAGGCATAAGGCTAAATTAAAACACCACCATAACATTAGGCTGCCACCCTAAGATTACGCTAAATGAAATTAGGGATGAAAACTACAAAATAGTGATAAATAGAAAACTGCAAATTGGCAATGAAATTGGTGATGAAATACAATAATTCGGTTATGAAATCGATCACATGAAACTAAATCTTATAAACTAAACCCTAAAAAGCTCTAAATGTTAAAGAACAAACCCTAAAACCTTAAAGAATAAAATGATGAGGCTCTAAAATGGCGTAAGGTTATGTCAAACATCATTAAGCTTTTTTAAACCAAGCAGCGTAATGTATGGTTCTCAGCCACCATAGTGTTACACCTTTTATTGAAAATGTCAAAACTATTTCGTTTTTAATAAAGTAAAAAAGACAATTTGTGAACGATTAAGTGGCTGACCAATTAAGGCCTGGTTTATTCTTTAATGAATGTTGTAGTTACCTTCCTTCACTTCTGATTTACCCAAAGCATCTCAATAAATCAGGTTTGGAAGGATCTTACAGAAAATCATGAAGCGCCTTGCCTAAAATGTGATAACAGAACAGGTTGTTAAACAGTCATCCGATTAGCAAAATAGATAATGGAGAAATATGAGAAGAAAGATTACAATTACTGACTTTCTGTCAAGCATATTATAGAAAAGAAAGCTAATCTGATTTTAAAAGACCATAAACGTTTTACTCATTTATTTTGAAGTAAAACTAGAGGTCAAAGGCTTTAATTCGGGATGGTAGGAGCATTGCCTCGACTTTGTCTCATTATTTGTTTGATAATGCTGCCACGTTTATGTTCAATTTCACGATAATGTTCATGATATGACATCTATACTAGCAATTTTCTTATAACTTTCTATAAGAAGGGTTCACAAACATTTTTCTAAATCCAATTTTTCAGCGGGCGCCAAAACTAGCCATTCGTTTTTGGAAATTAATAGATGGAAACCATTCGCCATTTTCAGAATAGACGGTATGACAATAAATGCAAGATATGACCAACAAGCAAAGTACACAGAAGTTTAGCATCAAACTCTGGTGAAAAAACAATTTGACTGTACCAATATGACCATGAAAGAAAGAGAAACACAATATCCATACCAAACGCTCCCTTTCAGATGGCTTCCCAGCAAAGCAACTGGCTTTAATTCTTTTAATTGCAACGTCAGAACCCTTCCACTTTCCATGATAAACAGCTCCATAAGTACCAGATCCTAACTGGCGTATCTCCTCCAAGTCATCGTTTTTTATGGTCTAGAGACAAATATAAATGCAGATTAAATGGTAAAGCTTAACTACCAAAGAGCACCAATCACATACATTAAATATAACTCATTTTTTGCACATTCAGAAAAAGGAATACAAGTATAAACAAACCTGCAATCCCCTAGCAATAGCTTCTTCCTCGGCTTTCGTTGGTTCGATCTTTGAATTGCTTTCAGTGCCAGTATCAGAGTCCAGCTCCAAATCCCCAGGTGCGTCCTACATCACAACAGATGATGAAATATAACTCACATTTATACGAAGGGTGAAGGAGTACGATTCACTCACCACAACATCTAACTCATGTGCGGTTTCCTCTCTGACCTCAGCAGCATTCTCCGTGGCAGAATCAACAACTTGAGCTTCATCTTTTACCTCCTCAGCACACTCTAGTGCCGCTTTCTTAACAGATTCAACAAATTGAGGCATATAACTCAAAATCTCAACTTTGAGATCCTCCTTTTCAGGAGAATGAGGAGTATTATCTCCATGAGGGTTTGCAGCTCTAGCTACTTGTTCAACGGGTAAGCAATTTGGACCAACAGCTTTGTTGGATTCCATCAAACTTGTGTTCTGTGTTCTGTCTGGGACAGGCAACATGGTGGAGTTCTCAACATTCGCTTCGCCTTTCAACTCTTTTCTTTCAGAATCATCTTTTCCCTCTATCTTCATCAATGATTCAGTGCCATTGGTATTTCGTATTGCTTCTTTATTCATTGTGTTCAGAGAAAGAGCTTTACCATCAACCAAAGTTGGTGATTGGTTACACCCTACTACAGAATCACTAGGATTTGAACAGCTAGTCAAGTTAGAAGGAGATTGGACAGGTTCAGGAGACACGTGGTGATCCTCTAGATTGTAAGAATTTGGCATCAATTTTAAAGGGCGTACTGGATAATAATCAGGAACATCAGCCCCATCGTAACCTGCCAATTTAGGAGCGGATTCCACCAGAGGATTCTGATTTTCTGCCTCCATTTTAATCCTAGGAATATAATCTGTTGTTGTCTTGATAAAGTTGTTTGTACCATTCTCTTGCTGAGGTGAAATGGATGCTTCATTTGTTGGAGACCCATGCATCGGACTTTGAACATCTCTCCAGAAAGAATTTGCACGTACATGTCCATTAGATGGTGCATGGTGAAGATTATCCAGTTGATAAGCATATGGAAAATTCCCATATCGAGCTACACGCTCCTCGTACGGAGTGTGGAAGTGAGAACCAGTAGCTATGGGTTGATCATGAAACAACTCACTGCCAAACTCATGCCTGTGACGGATATAATGTGAACGCTCGTCATGACGAACATTAGGTAATGGCATGTGAAGGCTATCTGGATATGCAGTGGGTGCAACAGCAACATTCATACCATTTCCGTCTAAAATGCAGTGATCACTTGGTCTTCCACCTCCCAGGTTATGTGATCCAGGTTCCTCAGCATGTGTGTTTGCCTGATGCGGAAGCACCCATCCTCTTTCATGAGGGTGCGCCTCATTATAGAAAGGTCTAGGATCATTATGCTCTCTAATGTAGAATTGATGAGGAAATTTCAGTTCCGACATATATGCTTCCCTACTAAGGGAGCTTTCTGCACCTGGATTGGCAAACTGATGAAAACCATTCCCTGTGTTGAGCAATTCTGGAGCTTGGTTTCTTGGGAATGGCGGGTGACAGTGGTCACAGACATTGTTTCCTTCGAACATGTTGTTTCCATGCAGTATGTTATTAGGAAAACCAGCTTTTTCACCTGATATAGGTGGTGAGTGTAACCAAGTAACATTCTCTTGTAATTGGGACTGGTGGTCAACTGGGGAAAGATGATTAACATGATGCTGCCTGAAGTAATCTTCAGAAGGACCTCTGTCAAAAATTCGGTCTGGTGGTTCACCATAAGGAGCATGGTAACATGAACATGAAGGCGAAGTTGGAAAGTCGTTTGCAGGCTGCATAGGAGAAGAGTAGTATGCAGGGCTCCTTGGAGGCTCCATCTCATTATACCTATGGCTTAGAGACTGTTGGTGCTGCAATGAATCCAGATGAGTGATGGTAAGGTGATGCAAGTTAAGCGGTGATATGGGCGACTCAAAATTCCTCTGACTATGAATACCACCATCCAAATTTAACTGATTAAAGTACTGGTCTGTCAACTGAATGTCATCCAGAGGAGCCATTCCTTGAAACTCACTCATCTGCTGCTTAACAGACTCAGGGGAGTCATTAAGACTGTTCAAAGCATCTACATACCTTCTTTCACTTTCCCTCCCATCCGCATCTAGAAAATGTAATGGATCATCCAGTTCAGAATTCGAGAACAAAAATACCCTGAGCCTAGTAAACCCATCCCCTGAACCCAACTTATCATACTCCTCCATCATATTCATCACATCATCATCATCTACAACTGATACAAGGGCATCAAGATCCTCATCAGGCTGCTTATATTTCAAAACAGTCGCGCCCTCGAACAACTCTTTCATCCTCGCCATTAGTTCTTCGAAACCAACATCCCTAGGAACACTCAAAATGCGTGTCTCCCCGCCTACATACCTAAGCTTCCCGTCTTGTGGACGTGGCAATATGCTACCATTAAAGCTACATAAAATCTTCACACGAGGAGTATCCTCATTATAGTTCCGTAGTGAACGGGGAGAGATTGTAAATGCAGTAGGGCTATCCATTTAAACTTGTGTTTCCTCGATGCACTAATGAATCCTTCAAAACCCTACCATTGACGTAACACAATCACAATCGCCTCGAATTTTCATTTGCCACTCCTGACTCTTCTGATCAACAACATTTGTAATTCAATAAAACGTGTGCCCAATACAACAAATTAAATCGAATAACCAAGCACGCAAAACACACGATCTAATTCAATCCCTAATTTTTACCAAGATTCACCATCCGAAACCAAAAACAAAAGCAAACATGTAGAAAAAATCAGATTGAAGTACCTGAAATTAGCGGTTGCAATAAAACCGATGAACACGAAATGCGATATCTTGTTCCCAGCTACTGAAATCGATAAAAAAAACAAATTTGAATCCGAATTTTGTGCCCTTTCTATGCGGAGAAATATGCATTTATAAAATCCTAAAGATAATGATAAAGATGGAGATTAGATCAAGAAAGAAGGGTGAGGGTGAAATCGGAAGTAATGGTGATGGGAGAAGGAGGAGGAGGAGGAGGAGGAGGGAAGCAAGAACGCCATTTTTGTTTTCATGATGAATGATTATGATTCCCGGGGGGTGTCAGTCAGGATCACACGTGTCGACATAGCGTCCCTCGAAGCTAACTGCATTTCGGCCATGGAATGTTACATTCACGCGCCGAGTTTGGTGCGTGTGCATCTCTCCGGTGGGTAATTGTCCGATTTGTCCCTTATACGGAGACGATGCTATTCTAAAAAGGGTAAATTACATAAATTGGGAATTGCTGTTACAATTAAAATTTTTAAGTTGTTTTCATGGATGGAATGTTACATTAATTGAAGGGGGATATTGGTCATTTCATACATTCTTTCTAATTTTTTTTATCAAACATTAAATATATATATTTATGCTTATATTTTTTTATTAACCTGTTTTACAAGTAGTCCGGAGTCATCGTATTTAAACCTCCGTGAACACAAAATAATATTTATTCATTATTGGATTGAAACTTGGGACCTCCAGACACTTTTAACCTTTGGAGCTCAACCTCAAACCAATTAGGCACCACCCTTGTGGTTTTACTTATACTTCTTTGTAACAGACGTATTAAAATTATCTTGAATTTTTAAAAGATGTTAGTAATCAAGTAATATATACAAGTTTTTTTAAGTTGTACAATCTCCAACGATCTTCCATCTATATTATCTTTGTGCTATGAGAGCCGACGGCCCATGGTAGTGGATGGTTGGGGCATCACCGACCATCCACTGTAATACAATTTTGAACACAATTTCTAAAGTGTCATATTAACTTTAAAAATTATTTAGAAATTACCTCCACTGTAAGGAGTTCTAATTAATTTTAAAATGACACATCATCATAAAAAAAACTTTAATCAAATAACAACAAAACTATAATTTTTTATTATGACTTGATACCAAATAATTATTCACATAATACAGTGAGATATATCTCGATTTTAATATTTTGTTTTATTTTTTGTCTATGTCGTTATTATAATACAATTTTATATGATTTTGAGAAAACAATAACGTTTTATGTTTGAATAAAATATAAATTTGAAAATCTCATAAAAAAAGTTTGTCGACATTAATATCAAAATAGCTATTTAAAAGTTTTTGTTTTTTTGTGTAATTTGTTTAATTCAATTTAATTTAGATTTAATAACAAAATAATTTATGTTTTGTTTAATGATATAATTTTATTTACAAAGATTTTGTTTGAACTTAATGATTATCCTAATTATATTTTAGATTTTTTATATTTAAAATGAAATATTAATCATGTATTTGTTTTTGTTTATTTGAAATTAGTTACACAAATTCAAACATGGAGCTTTAATAAGTTATACAGACGAACAATCTACTTGCAATCTTAAACTTTGAGTAATATGCATCAATAAACAATATTTGATGCTAAAAAATTATATCAAATGTTTTATAATATAGTACAGATAATCATCATAAAATAAAATAAATGAAACAAATAAAATATTTAATTTAATCTATACTATATTATAAAGCATTTGACAAAAACTCTTAAAAACCATTTTTACACATGAAGTACAGTTTATGGATGCATATTACTTAAAATTCAAGATTACAAGTAAATTGTGCATAAATATAACTTATTAAAGCTTCATGTTTAAATTCGTGTAACTAACTGTAGATAAACATAATCAAATAGAAAATAAACATCTAATTTTAAATATAAAAAATCTAAATTATAATTAGGATAATCGTTGAGTTATAACAGAATACTTAATTAGCATATTTAAAAAAATATTTTTTAAACCAAAAATAAATTAATTTGTTATTAAACTTCAATTAAATTATAATAAAAATTTGAATTAAAGAAATTACATAAAAACGAGAACTTTTAAATAGTTAATTTGATAACAATATCGATTATTTTTTTAAAATTTTTATAATATCTTTAAATTTATATTTCATTTAAAAATAAAAACATTTTATTTTTCTCAAAACCATATGAAATCGTAATATAACATCGATAGACCCAAAGTATAAAACGAAACATTAAAATCAAGATGTATCTCACTGCATTGTGCGAGTATCCTTTTAGTTAATAAAAATGTATTTGATTTAATAAATAAAAAACAAAAAAGTTATATTAAACACACACCATTTAATAAATGATCATGAAAATGATAGAAATGGATCCTATAACAATAATCGAATCATAAAGAAAATTATATGGACATCAAATTCAAAAACTTTTAAATAAACAATAATGTAATTTTATATATGTTAAGTTTATATTTTTATTATGTAATTTATTTGATTGTATTGTAATATAATTTGTATTTTGCATTTATAT